TATATATATATATATATATATGTCTGTGTGAACATGTCTCTCTCTCTGTGTGTGTATTTATCTCTTTGCTTGAGTTCTCTTGTCTCTCTTTCCTCCCTCCCTCTCCTCCTATTCCTTGCACTTCCTGTAAGAGTGGGAAGGACGGAAGCGGAAAAGAGCAAACAACAAGAAAAGAACGAGTGAGGTTCTGTAGAGCGTGGGCTACAAGGTGAGGCTGATCGCGTAGGAGAGATGCAGTCAACACCACATACAAAGCTGAACCCGCACGACCAAAGCGGGTGCGACACGATGCCGCATGCAGATTCCACGGCGGTGAGGAGTGAGGCAGACGACCTTGCACAGCGCCAGCGGCAGCAACAACAGCACCGAGAAGAGGCGGATGCTGCAGACGAGGAAAATGAGTTGGCGGCGTCCCCTGGCGAGGGAGGCAATGCCGAAAACGAAGAAGAGGAGGAGGAGGTGGAGGAAGATGAGGCGGCGGAGGAAGACGACGAAGAAGATGATGATGCTGACGTGGTTCCATTCACTAGCGACGAGGAGGCCATTGAGGCGCGCGCAGTGGGTCTCAGGCACTACAACGAGCACCGCTACGAGGACGCCCTTGACGTGCAGTACAGCATCTTGCGGCATTTCGAGAAGAAATATGGCGCCACCGCCGCTGTCTGTGGGCCGTACTTCCTCGACTACGGCCTCTCTCAGCTACGTGTGCTGCAGTCGAAGAGCAGCGTGGAGGCGGTGCTGCAGCCGCTCGACCAGGAGGCGCTCAAGACGTGCTTCATCAACCTTGATGTTGCGCGTGTGTGCTTCCAGAAGCAGGAACAGGAGCGGGGGGAGGGGGACATTGAAGTGCAGCTGCGACTCGCGGAGGTGCACAATGCCATTGCACAGCTGCACGTCGAGCGCGAGGACTTTGACGACGCGTTGAAGGAGTACGAGAGTGAGCTGCTGACGTACCGCTTCATCCAGCAGGAGGCACCAGAGGCACTGCCACGCGGCCGACTTGCCTCGGTACTCTACGCTATCGCTGACTGCTACATGAAAGAAGGCGACTTCGAGGGCGCCGAGGCGCGCTTCACCGCTGCGCTTGATGAGATTGCGACATTCCCCACCGGCACGATCGCACCAGAGCTCGTGGTGGAGCTGCAGGAGCTGCGCGACGACGCGCGGGATATGAAGGGCGGCAAGTTCAAGGCGCTGCAGGAGAGCATACAGGCGCAGTTCGCCGTGGAGGAAGCGGAGCAACTGCCGACCGCGCAGGAGTTCTACGGTGACACAGAGGAGCTCCAGCAGCAGCACCCGTACGTCTCGCGCCTCCCAGGGGAGTCAGAGTACTCGGCACTGTCGATGCCGCAGTCCGTGACGAACCCCACACAGTGGAACGAACACAGCAACAGCATGTCGCTCTCGCTCTTCCCACCGCAAGTGGCTGGCCGCAGCCCAGACACATCGAACAGTCAGCCAGTGCACCACGTCGTAGCGCGGCGCAAGCCAAAGCAGCAACCGCAAGAGCAACTGGCACGGGGAGGCAGCTCCAGCGACACGGGTGAGTCGGGGATGAAGCGGATCCGCACCGAATCCTGCAGCTAGGCTGTGTGTCTGTGTGTGTGCTTGGGGGGCGTGGTGAGCGACGGATAGACGGGGTACCGCTTGGGACAGACGATTAAAACGACATCCGGCCGAAAGGTCACACACATAAAGTGTAACAGAAAGGAAAGAAGTATTGGGGGGGGGGCGTGGGTGGAGAATGTTGATGTTCTCCAAGCTCTTTCCAGCTGCTGCAACGGCCGTCATTGTTTTGGATGATGATGATGATGATGATTGTTTTTTATTATTATGATTACGATGATAGCCCCAAACCTAAAGAAAGGCAACACCGCTGCCGTTCAAAAAGTGTTGTGGTGCACAGAACCTCCACGAAAAGGCGAGACAATAACTCGACCGATGGAGAAGAAACGTATAGAAAAAAAAGTATAATGCAGAGAAACACCTCGGTGCCTGTTCTTTGTCTGTGTGTGTGTGTGTGTGTGTGTGGAGGGGGGATTTGTGCAATGGTGGAGGAGTACGCTTTCTCTTTCCCTTTTGGCTTTCCCTTTTCGCTATCCCCTGCTTGTTTGGATTATTCGTGATGGCGTTGCCGTTGTTGTTCTTGCTGCTGCTGCTGATGTTCTGGTGCATCGTGATGGCTCGCCCCGCACACACACACACACACACATGCATGCATACACATATACAAACACGCAGATTCACGAGTGCACATGGCCTCTGCTGCTGCTCCTTTTCCTCCTGCAGACATACCAAAGGGATATGAATGAGTGAATGCATCCACTTGTGATGGCGCAGGTGGTGTATGGCCTATTTTTTTTTCTTTCTGTCTCCTCTCGGTTTGCGTGTGTGTGTGTGTGTGTGTTTGTGTCTGCTTCTCTGTGTGCTGCCCACATTGCGCCTTTTTTTTTCAATACCCTCTTCTTTTCACGCAGGGACGGATGAGTGAGCAAGCTTCGCGGAGGGGCGCACGCTGCCTGCACGTGACGGACTCCCACTGCCACTTGCACCCATCGGCATCGACACCGTCTGCGGCAGACGCCGGCGATGCAGCACGAGCGCCGCAGCTCTCCTGCAGCATCAAGCGCGCGGTGGTGTGCGGCACACACCCCAACATCGACTGGGGACTCATCGAGACGGCCGCGCAGTCAGCGGCTCCACCCACCGCTGGGGCATCCAATGACGTCATCATCCCCGGCTTTGGCATCCACCCGTGGTTTGTGCCAAATGACCAGCAGCAGCAACAGGTCTCAGACGACGCCGCCAACGGTGGTATCAACAGCAACAACAGCAGAGGCCCTGCTGAAGGCTCTGCTCTAGCCGGTGCCGGCAGTGCTCCTGGAGAAGTCTCACAGCAGTCCGAGGCAGAGCTTCTGCGCCTCCTCGAGGACGCACTGCGCCGCCACCCGCGCGCTATTGTGGGCGAGATCGGTCTCGACAAATTGCGGGGCCCGCCGGAGTGCGTGCAGCTGCCGTTCTTCGTGGCACAGATGAAACTTGCCGCTCGCTACGGCCGACCTGTGTCGGTGCATTGCGTGCGCAGTTTTGGCGCGATGCTCAAGGTGCTTCAGGGCCTCGCGGTGGAGGATACTCCACCTGCCATTGTGCTGCACGGCTTCACTGGATCTCTGGACTTTGTGAAGTCGGCAATGATGATACGCAAGCGGCCGCTGGCACCGCTGCATGGGAGCCGCGGCACACCCAAGTCACTGCCGCTCCGCCTATTCTTTGGCGTGGGTGCCGGCACGAGTCTGCGTGTGAAGAACTTCGCCTCCAAGACGCTGCCATTTCTGCTCCAGGAGCGGCGAGCGTTGCTCGAGACGGACGCCCACCACACTTTCCTGCTGCGCGACGGCGCTGATGTTGCTGGGGCAGGAGGCGATATTGCGTGGAATCGTGCGGGGTGCGGGCAACTGGCGGAGGTGATAGCTCTGGCCGGAGGCGGGAATGCGGAGGCGGAGGATGCGCTGCTGCAAGGGTGCGAAGAAGCCTTTGTAGAGGCCTTTTCTCTGCAAACAGCAACAGAAATGGCACCCGTATGAGGAGAGGGATTGTTGTGTCCCTCTTAGTGTCGTCATTCGTTGTCGCATTTGCTTTTTCCTCTTCCCACTTCGAACCGCATTTATTTATATTTTTCTGTGTTCACCCTCACTGCATGTCTTTCTTTCGTTCTGTTCTTGTTCTTGCTGTTGCTGTGCCCTCCTCCTGCCGACACAGGCACGTGTGTCAGCAGACCTAGCCGCGTGGAGCATTCTCTCAACGCAAGGAGTCTGTCCAGCAGGCGTTGTGTGGCGTTTTTGTCAAGGCGCGCACAACCACCACCACCACCACCACCTCCCGCCGTCATCTGCCACACGGGAGTAGAGAGAAGGAAAGAGAGCTCTGAAACGGGTACAGTCGGCACTTGTTGTGGGCGATAAGGACCGAAGAATTGCATGCAAAAAAGCAGAGAAATGCCACTCGTCCACTTTTACTATCGGTCTGATCCCGTGGTGGCGGCAACGCGGTCGGCGTTATCGTCACCGCTCTCGTCGGTGATATCGTCGCCCCCATTCAGCGGCAGCGGCGAGAACAGTGAGATGCGCGGCGGAAGCAGTCGGCGCGACTCCCATGCGGAGCGCCCACCTCTCTCGATATTCACCGATGCTCGCACTACTGCCACGGTCGATGTGTTTGGTGTCGCGGGGTAGATACAATAGTGGCAGGCGCCACCAACTATGAGTTTGCATTACTGTTTGGTTTTGCTTTCGGTTGTCTTTGCCCTTTCCTGTCGACCTACCTACCTACCTACCTATCTACCTCTCTTTTTCACACACACTATTGCCGTTTGTGATGGCTGTTCTTGTGGCTATCGCTGCGCCCTCCAGTTGTCTATCCCTTTCCTCTCTCTACCGTCTCGCGTGTGGCCGCCTATACGCACGTCTGCCCTGTCGGGTGCGTGCGTGCGTGCGTGCCCGAGACTGACTGGGTGAGTGACTGAGTAACCGGCTGGGCGTGCAAGCATACTAGTGCTGCAGGGAAAAGGACTCCACGAGCCTTTCCGTCAACGGTTTGTTTTTTGCCCTTTTTTGTTTCTGTTTCTATTTGTTTCGGGTATAGTCCTTGTCGCCGTTTATTATCAGTATTATTATTATTATTATTATTGGGCGTGACCATCAAGTTTGGTTTGCTTTGGTGGTGTTTCCTTCCTGTTGTCTATTCGCGCCCACACACACA